GAGAGAGAGAGAGAGAGAGAGAGAGAGAGAGAGAGAGAGAGAGAGAGAGAGAGAGAGAGAGAGAGAGAGAGAGAGATTAACTGACTCTAGGGTGTGTGTGATTTAACTACTCTAAAGTATTGTTAGGAAGTTGGTTCGACTCCACAGTTTGATGTACCATGGTAACTCCATAGCATGATGATGATTTAACTCCAGAGTATAGGATTCAAAAGGCACCAAACGTGGGCCATCGAAGACGGCATAACTGACTGTTTCGATTCTACAGACCACAACGTTACGAGCGTGTATAATATACGCTGGCAAAGGAAAAGCCCCGAATTCGCAGGTGATTAAACAATGACGTATGGCAAGGAATTTATGTACAGAACTCCGACGAAACAGTTTGTCACAGTTCGCTAATTTGTTGTCCTCTTCTCCCTCTCTGGCTATGGTTCACCAGGCAGTTTTTAGCATGATGATATATAACAAACGAGGGGCTGTGACAGACTGTTTCGTCGGAGTTGCAAAGACTCGTTAGGAGGCTGATCCCTCTACAGTCTGCAGAGTCCCCTAACCGATGCTACTGAAAGTGATAATCCACCTTAACCCCGGTTGCGGTTAAGCATCGACTGCCGGACAACTGATACCCAGAGGTGGGCACCAACCACCGCCCTCAAGGTACCTGTGACGAAAATCAAACCAGACCATCACTCACCCACACCGGACAGAAAACTCTACACACTGCAGGTTCGCACCCCATCATTCATAAGCCAGCAAGAACACCCATGAATCAAAGAAAGGTCGGTCACAGCCAGAAGATACACTCCAGACACTCCGCTGGCACTGGAGGCACAGCATGGCCACATAATGATCCATTTCTTGATCATCTGTATGCGCATCGGCATTTCATGGGTCCATGCAGCGTTCCAATTTTAGCAGATGTCCCCGAGGATGGGTATTGTGTAATTTAACTACTGCAATGTACGAGAAGAATGGTCAGTTCAACTGCACAGTTTGTTTTTACTGGCAGGATGATGGTTTAACTCCACGGTATGATTGACCTACACAGTATGGTAGGGATTTTAATAATCATTTTATGTGTGATACTACGATGATATATAGTCAGTGAAACTCCGATGGCACAGTCTGTCACAGCCACCTTTTTTTTGTCCTTCTCTCCCTTTTCGCCTGCGGTTTACTGGTCATTTCTCTATGGTAAGGATGGTTTAACTCCCTACCTTCTTCCCCCGAATACAACGTACGGTCATTATAACTGTATTTAGACTGAAAGATACCCCAAATACAGCTGTAATTACCATACGTTGTATTCGGCGGAAGAAGGTAGTGCGTGATTTAACCACTCCAAAGTATGGTAAGGATATGGTTGGTTCAACTCCACAACTTAGTTCAACAACTTTAACTCCACAAGTATTATGATTTAAGTTCCTCTGAAAAACCAGTACACGGCCCCCAGCCTTGTAGAAAATCGCGAGTTGCCAACTCCGAAATTTCCGAGGCCCAGGGCTACCGAATCACAATGGCTGGCGGCGCCAGCCCAAAAAAAAAAATAAAAAAATTGCGCCACTGGCGGTTCGGAAAAGCTCGGTGAGCAGTGCAGCCCCTCCAGGCCCGGGTGTACTGGTGGCTTAACTCCATAGTTTTGTACGAGCGGAATATAACTATGCTTTTAGAGGTGTTATGGGTTTCTTGTATGTACTATATATAGCATGGACTATTGCAGAGGTTTTATGGGTTTCTTGTAAGTACTATATATATAGCATGGACTATTGCAGAGGTGTTATGGGTTTCTTGTAAGTACTATATATATAGCATGGACTATTGCAGAGGTGTTATGGGTTTCTTGTATGTACTACATAGCATGGACTGTTGCAGAGGTGTTATGGGTTTCTTGTAAGTATTATATGTCTGTCCTTTCGTTTTTCTTTTCTTCGCTCATCTTATTTCTTCTTCTACTTCACGTGCTTATGCTCTTAGTCAATAGTTCTGTGACAATATATAGCATGGACTACTGCAGAGGTGTGTGCATGGCATAGTATGGATGCTATTTATGGGACTAGATAGTTTTTGCTTCTCATCAAGTGGGTTTTTTTCTTTTCTTTTGGGTGCTCTATTAGAGTCCTTGCAGATCACCAACGAGCCTAGCTCAGTTGGTACACCCATGAACTGTTGAAATACAGACCTGAGTTCGAATCCAGACGGAACTTTGATGAATGGAACTAAATCTTTCTGAATTACCTAGGGCAGGTCAGATCGATGAAGATACCCCAAGGCCGTTGCACTTTAAAATGGAGGGGGGGGGAGGGAGGGGGAGTGAGGGGGAGGATCCTTGCAAACTCCGGTTCTCTGAGTGGATGACCGTAGGTTGTGATTCTCTCTCTCTCTCTCTCTCTCTCTCTCTCTCTCTCTCTCTCTCTCTCTCTCTCTCTCTCTCTCTCATTGTGTGTGTGCCATTTTCCAAATGATTCAAGTGATTATTTGAGAAATAGAATTTATTATTCGACCGGTTGAATTGGTTCCCCTCTGCATTGACTTTGGATTTGCAAAATGGCTACACCATTCAACTTTTCAATGATTTTCCGATGCCAGGGATTGCTTTGTTTCCTGTTGTGGAAATGGTGCAGGGCGCGATATGATGTCTTGAAGGCAAAGGTGGAAGATATCGACAATCAGCTTCGCGAGGCAAAGGCAGACAGGAGGGAAAATGAGAGGGATGTGAAGATGAATGCAGCTATCGAGAGCTTGAAGCGACTGTTCCCAGGGGTGCGAGGGCGGATAACCGAGCTTTGTCGTCCAACCCAGAGAAGATATAATCTAGCAGTATCAATTGCTCTCGGCAGAAATATGGATGCTATTGTGGTAGACGATGAAAAGACGGCGAGAGACTGCATTCAGGTGAGAAAGAACATCAGCATATGCAATCATCCATCTGTGCAATCATGAAAAAAAAAACGTATCTGAGAATGTCCTCAAATGTAGCTAAGCCAACTCTCAGTTTTTCCATGGAGCTGTGTGTGTGTGTGTGTGTGTGTGTGTTGGGAGGGAGGGGGGGGGAAGAGGGGCTGGTCGTTGGGGGCATCCAATTTATCATCTATTTCACACACCCAATAAAAGAAGATTTAAAATAGCTAAATCCACAGTTCCTCCAGAATTACTGGTTATACGGCTTAAAGGTGTGTAGAGCGTCCACCTGGTACAGGCACATACTTCCACTAAAGCAGACATTTGAAGAAGGAACAATGATGGTGGTAATAATCGAAAACTGACATTGTTTAATAGTGGAAAGGCCATATCCGCTATTTACATATTGAATTGATTGACTCAGGCTCTTTGAGCTGGGTGAACGGGCCTAAAGTCTCCCTATCGTCACTCAAAGACTAAGAGGCAGCCATCAGACACACAGTGTCCACAGCTTAGCTTCGTCAAGGGTGCCATTGTTCGTCTGGGTGAGGACATTTGACCCATCCGTTCCCTGTTCTTCGCACGTATGCAGACGTTCTCAAATTTCTTCGTTTTTTCCTGCCCTCTTCCCCCCTCCCCTT